GAACAATTTTTTTGGACGGCCCAAAAAGGAAAATGTGACTTATTTTATGGGACGGAGGGAGTACTAGATTACTAAAGCATGTCAATTGTTCACAATAATTTGTGTATATCATGAAGGCATAATTATATTAGTTTGTTCATTATTTACTTTTAAAATGGTGTGATGTTATTTTAAAAATGATATTAACCTTTTCATTAAATTTAAACAATGGTAAACATTTTCAGGTCGGGCGGGCCGGTGGACTATCCAGCCCGCTACTATGGGTGGGCTTAGACATGGGAGGTGACCCGTTTGATCCGGGCCGGGCCGGGCATGTCCACATAAATGGGCAGAAATTTTAGATAAAGCCCGACTCGAACCCGGCCCGAGCCCGTGTTTGTACAGGTCTAATAGTTGGTGAACTTTTAATATTTTGTTGGTTGTAACCGCAAACGATTAATTAATATAATTTGGTGTTTTCTTTTCAAATAATAGTAATAATAATAATAATAATAATAATAATAAATATCATTTTTTGGGAATAAAACACTTAGTTATTAGTAATAAAAATAACAAGTACAAAAGTGATTCGGATAGTCTAAGGCTACACTAGATTAAGACATATAACTAAAAAGTTCCAAGCCAACATAACATTTCGTTAATCTCGCAAAGATGTAAACTCCTCTATCAACATAGAAGCTCATGCTACTAAACTAAAATCAAATCTAAAAATAATACTCCGTACTAAAATTACTTTGTGATAGAAAATAAATAAATAAATCGGTTTTACCATCCAATGACAAGGAAATAATAGAAAATCTGGTTTGTTCAGCCACCATAAAGAAATAGCTATAATCCTCAGTTTGACCATCAATGTCATCGGTTTGATGATCCATCGAAAACAGAATCCAATTGAGCGCTATCTTTCTCTCATAACATGTAGGTGGTTCAGGAGAGGGACGAATAATTGTCCTGAAATCGTTGACGTCTGAAGTTAATACCTCAAAAATATCAAGCAGGACTAGCCTTACCAACCACCAACAATAAAATTTCAACACCCGATCGATTCTACCAGCGAGGAACACACAAACCCTAGATGAAAGGGATTTTTTTTCGTATTTAGGAGGAGGAAGAATCTTGACGAGAATAAAGAAGAGGAGAGACGACTAGGGTTTTTACCCTTCGCCCGCTCCCCACCTCTACTACAGAGTATTTCTTTTAATAGTCTTTTTTAATAAATATCATTAATAATAAGAATAACAAATACTCCGGTATAATATTGATAATAATAATGACGACGATGATTGATGATGATGGTGATGATATAATAATGATATTAATAAAAGTAATAAATCATGTATGATTTTTTTATATGATCTAAATGTTTATGGTCATACTTGAATGTTTTTCATCTGATCTGAATGTTTTCTAATTCGATCTGAATATTTTGTATATGATTTGAATCTTTTCTGATATGACATGATCTGAATATTTCTGATCTGATTTCAATCTTTTCTGATATGACATGATCTGATTTTTTCTAATCTAATTTGAATAAAATAAGAATAAGCAACAAGCAATCATAATTGAACAAACAGAAGAACTTTTTCGAATGTTTTCAATTGAATTTGTTTGTCTCACATCAAATTCAAATACATTAGACTAGATGGATCAGAGTTAAATAAACTAGAGCATACAGATAGGGATGACAATGGGGCGGGGTTGGGTGGGGGTTCACTCCCCCATCCCCCACCTCGTGTCTAAAAAATCGCCCCCACCCCCAGCCCCAGCCCCCACTACTATTCGACCCGCCCCATCCCTCCCCGACCCGCTAGACCACGGTTACCCAATGGGGGAAATATTCGTCAAAAACTAACATTATTTTAGACCCAAACATTTTTCAAAAATCATCTAGTATGTAGCCAAAAAAACTTTTAGTTTTAATGTGTCAATGTAATCTTACATCCCATTTCAAATCTAGAACACATGATACACATTTTGATTTAGTCATTTTATCAACACTTTGTTAGCATTGATAAGCTCTATAATACTTTCTTAAGCCCTGCATTCAATCAACCATGGTCATTTGACAACATCTAGGACTACCTATGGTCACCAGATTTTTAAGAGCCCTAACTACAATCATAAAGATGGCATTCATAAAAAAATAATTAATGCACTATAATAGTAAAAGAAGAAAACATCACACTGTGTCTGAGGCGTTTAAGCTAATATCACTTTATAACTTTCCCAAATTCATTTTACTTTATATGATTTTAATAACCAATTTTACTAGATAGTTGAGTTATTAAACAAGAATTAGATAGACCTATTAGGCACAACCCATTAGATAGGAAACAACTAAACTCACCGAGCCACCATACTATTTTAATTACTTCGTATTAGTATTATCATTATTAGTATTATAATTATTGTGATTATTGTTATTATTATTAATTATTAATACGTGTATATATACGAGTAGGGGTGGGTTCGGTTCTTGCGGTTCGGTTTTGACCTAAAACCAAATATAGAATCAAAGTAAAAAGTTCGGTTCGGTTTCGGTTCGGTTCTATACTCCAAAACTTGGAACCACGGTTTAATTGGTTTGTTTAATTTGTTTCGATTCGGTTTCGGTTTTTTCGGTTTTTTTACCAAAAAATTATCATTTAATTTAAAATTGATATAATACTTTGATGGATCAAACATATATTACATAAAGAATGCAAGCACACTACAACAAATAAAATAAAAATGAAAATAAATAAATATGTCATGAATTATATAAGTATGCGAGAGAGATAAAAGTATATATTATTGATTTACATTGTTTGTGACTAGTTCAAAAAATGTTCATGAGTATATACGTTATATGTAATATAGTTGAGATAAATATTTATTGTTTCATCAATACGAATTCTTTAAGTTAAATAAAAATAAAAGTTAATTAATACTAATAACAAGTAAAAACATATTATCAGTATAGCTACATTATTACGTGCAATGAATGTGTAAATGAATTCACAAACTAAACTAAACATAACAAACATTATTTCTCTAGCACAAGAAAATCAAAAACTATCAATGATATTAGGATTAGTTAGGATTAATGCTTAACAATGGACAAATAAATTTTACTCCGTATATTTTAACTAGTTCGGTTTGTTCGGTTCGGTTCAGTTTTGAAGGGTAAAAACCAAAACCGAACCAAACAACTACGATTCGGTTCGGTTTTTTACATTCGATTTTGGTTTGTTAGCGGTTCGGTTTTATTTGGCTACGGTTCGGTATGATTTGATTCGGTTTTCGATTTTCGATTTTTCAGACCCGACCCTATATACGAGGAACAGGGTGGGGGCGGTGCGGGGGCGCATAACCATCACCCGCCCCATATTTAAGCGGGGAGGAAATAATTCTCCCATGAGTCCCATCCCCATACCCGTCCCACCCCACCACCCGCCCCAAATCCCCCCACGGGGCGGTCCCTTACGGCCCCCGCCCCCATTGTCATCCTTACATACAGACACTTGTAGACAAAATTTGAGGTATTTACACAAATAGGAGTAAATCAATCTTTAATTGCTAAAATAGGACTAAAGTCTGAAAATTCCCTAAATAGGAGTTATTATTTGTATTTGGACAAATATATCCTTGAAGCTTGGTAACCATAGACCCAATGCCGGACCGTTGCTCGTCTGCCGTCGCCAGCGCTTGCCGGCCTCCGCCGATCGCCGGCAGCTGCTGCTCGCAAACCGCCGCTGAGGTCTCAAAATTGGCCGCCATTGCAGACCAAGCCATTGCGGCTGCAGATCTGGTCGTCGAAGCCATAGATCTGGCCGTCTCCAGCCGTCGACTTCTCAAATCTAGTCGCCGAGCGCTGCAGATCTAGCCTCCGCCGGTGTAGATTCGTCCTCCGCCGCTTCATCTCTGGCCACTGCCGCCGCTGTTGTCAACATTTTTTCAGAATGTCAAAGTGAGTCGAGAATGCCATTTTAATGGCATTTTAAAGGGAATTGCAAAAAATTTTGAAGAGTAAAAATGCCATTTTGATGGCATTTTCAGAAAAAAAATTGGCAATTTCAACAGAAACTGGCCAAGCATCGGACCTGTGACAAAAACAAAAGGGGAAGAGAAAAATACAATTTTTTCTGTAGAATAAGAATGTCATTTTTATGGCATTTTCAGAGTTGAACTTGGCATTTCTGCAACAAATATAGTTGGGGAAGAGAGAACATGAGAAGAGGGGGGAACAATCAGAGAAGAGAACCAGACCTTCGAAAAAGAGAAGAAGACCTTCAGCGGCGACGGCGGCTGACCGCGGCGGACTTCGCATCAGCGACGACGATGACTGTGCTTCTAGGTTTGGTTGTTGCTGTGCGAAGGGGAAGAAGAGATATACAGGGAAGGAAAAAGAAGATGTGTGGGGAAGGGTTAAGAAGGTGCGCAGGGGGAGGGGAAGAAGAAGATGCGCAGGGGGAGGGGAAGAAGAAGATGCGAGATGCGCAGGGGGGAAGGGTAAATGTGTCATTCGGTCTTATTTTAGGGTAAAAATTATGTATGGTCCTATTTAGGAATTTGAGAAATAATTTAGTCCCATTTAGGGTAATACTTCCTCCATCCCATTAAGATTGTCCCAATTTACCTTTTACGGAAATCCAACTAAGATTGTCCTATATCAAATTTAGTAAAGTTTAGAGATATTACCTTGAATAGGATTAAAATAGTTTGAAAATTCCAAAATAGGATTGCCATGTTTTTATTCCCAAAATAGGACTAATTACTGTTATGCTTTGGCAGTATCAGACTTCAAACATGTCAGTATTTTCTAAATATAACAGTAATTAGTCATATTTTGGGAATAAAAAACATGACAAGTCCTATTTTGGAATTTTAAAACTGTTTTAGTCCTATTTCGGAAACTTTCCCTAAAGTTTGTGTGACTCTAAATAATTTTTATTCTATTCTTACATAAAAATTGTATTCCAATAAAAAATTCCCGACCAATAGTATTTACCAAAAAGACACTAAATCAATTTTTAACAGAGAACCGTATTTTAAGCTTATTTCCTACGTTGTGCAACCCAGTTGGAACTTGGAATTATAGATCGCATCCATCAATTTTTTGGCTTAAACCCTAACTACAATTTCTTTCAAACTACCGACTGCTCCAAATGTTCAAGAAGTGAGTTTTTCCATGTTCTCACACTTTCACTTGCTCTGTACTTGAGGCACTCGCTTTTTGCTCCCCCCATCGTTTCGCCTAAAAACATTTATTTGTTTTCTTATGCAAACATTTATTTAGTTATAAATATTGCTTTTAGATGTCTTCAAGATCGCACTCATTTTGATACCCAAATAAATTTCTCTTTAAATTTTATAATTATCAGTGTATTAACCTCTCTACACAAGGTGAGGCCGTGTTCATAGAGAAGCTGTGTGTTACTGAATATCGTTTCCTTGATTCTGTTGGATTTAATTACAGTTTTATTTCCGCTTGTTTATTTTATTATGAGTTATAATAAAATTTGAATGATAAAAATATGAACTTGGCGGAACTTTGAAGTATCTAAGATGACATCTCTAGACAATAGCAACATCCAAGCCTCAGTCCCAAATTTGGATTTGATTAATGTCATGCAGCCTCCACATTTATCCAGGCTTGGAAGTTGGAACAACTTGATATTAAAAATGGTCCAGAGTTATGACATCTCTTGACTGTAAGAAAAATATGAACTTGGCAAACCACAGGCCAACCTTTTAGGTTCAAACTCCAATTCTTAATATGGTATAGGAGAATATTAATCTTTAACGAGCAATTAGATTACAACTAGAATCAACAACGATTACATTGACTTAGTTCACCACTGTGTGGGAGCATGTTAGATCACATCCTCCAATAAACCTTTCGGATAGAACCACTAGTCTGAATATGAAGTATCATTCCAATGCAAATGTTTTAATTTATAGTTGAGATGAGGATTCTTTTTCTTGTAAGAGATCGATCAATAGTTTCCTCCTTTTCAGTTTGTGCCATCCATTTATTTGTCATCACGATACACCATAGTAGTAAACATATTAAGATATATAAACACATGAGTGCAAATTGGTAAAAATCCCCTTTTATTGAGTGTACTATTATCTTGGAGAATAGGAAGTGATAAGACATTAAAGTACAAATATACAATCCAAGAAAATGAAAACATTTTTACACCATCCATACCTATGTCCTTTCGTATTTATGTTCTTGTGCAATGACTAGATTTCTTTTTGTAAAATATTTATAGGTTCTGCAATGAAGAAGTGTCTGGACAAAATCAAGTCAAAGCTTCTGTCCAGCGCAGAATCCGGCAAAGCATTGCAGAAGAAGTATTACTTTATGCTACATTTATGTTTCATAGAATCCTTTAAACACTTAGTCATGTACAGTATCTTATTTAGGTATGGATTAGTCTATGCTTCTGATGCTGTTTGTATTTCTATTTCAGTACCCAGGACTCGAGCCTGTTCTTGATGACTTGCTTCCAAAGAAATCACCCCTGATTGTTGCAAAATGGTTTGTTTAATTGAATCGTTTCATGACATTCTTTCCAATTTTCTTTATATTGGCCTTGCCTCTGATTTTTCTTTTACTTTGTTGAAGTCAAAATCATCTGAATCTAGTCGTGGTGAACAATGTACCACTGTTTTTCAACATACGTGATGGACCATATATGCCCACACTGCGGCTTCTTCATCAATGTAAGGAATTCATGGACCACATTACATTACACTAGATTTCCCCCATCTTTTGATAAGTATATCATCCTATGCATGTTTTCCTAATACCAATGTGTTTTTCCAAAAAGTGGAATCTCCTAACCGCAGCCCACATACCTGCCCGGCAGAGTAGGTAGATGAATTCAATCATGGTAATTTAATTGACTGGAAGACTAGACTTGTACTATACTGCACACAATGAGCCACCTCATATTGAGGGTAACTTCCACCAGCATGATTCGATCCTTGGTTGTTCATCCGAACCTTCACCCTTGGGACCAACTAAGTTACTTGTGTTGTAAATTGTAATTATCTGTTAAATTCTTTTGTTTATTATTGGTCCTGCATATGTCAGTGCCAGTAAAATTTGAGATAGGCCTCATTGATTGCTCAGCGAGTAAAGCTCTTGAACTTTATAATACTCCCTCTGTCCCGAAAAGGTTTGCCAAATTTCCTTTTTTGGATGTCCCAAAAAGATTTGTCATTTCCATTTAAAGTAAAGAATATGTGGCTAAACTTAATTCTCTCTCCTCTGCACAAATTTCAACCACACAGTTTTTACTTTATTAATCCACGTGAAAGTCAGTTGGCGAACCTTTTCGGGACGGAGGGAGTATTAATCTTTTGATGCCCTTGCCCTGGACCATTAATCCTTCAAATATATAAGTTTTGCTGATATGTTGGGCTTTGCATCCCATTTTGGGTTGCAATGTGAAAATAGTTGGATAGGGATGTGAATTCATCAGAATGAATAAAATAGTGTAGGGACAACACAGAGATAGAATAAGAAAACTATTACTCCCTCCGTCCCGTTGAAATGTTCCCATTCACTATTCATTGGTCAACTTAGGTCACTCCTAATCTTTTACTTTATATATCAAATTTTTATCAAATTGAGCTTTTCTTGATCAGGCTTTGTAGCGGTTTTAATGTAGTTTCTGAATATGTAAATTTTATTTACTTAAAATAAGCGGAGTGTGAACAGGGATCGAGTTGCTTTATCGTCAGTCAAGCATCGTAAACCGAACGGGAACCTTCCAACGGGACGGAGGGAGTATTTCATTTAAAAGAATAAATGATTAATATACTAACTTTGCTCGGATTACACAATAGAAAAGGAATAGTTATAATAGCATGTACGAAATGCACATGCCATTTATACTAGCATCCTTGTTGAAAGTTGTGATGGGTTAGAAAATCAATCTGAAGTCTTAACAATGGATCGATTGGGTTGATAATGCATATAGGTCAAATCAAGGCTAAATTGTTAATTCGATCCAATAATCTTGCTGAACATATCATGTTTGTAAGAGCTTCTCTTCCACTTTTATTCGCTGAACAATATAAACTAATGCAAAAATTACCCCAGTTACCTTAGATTATAATTCCAAAACCGTCATCTTAGAATTTTTCACTGATATGCTAAAACATTATGTTACACTCTGACTTGAGATCAAGTCATATTGTGTTACAAGATTGGTATTGTGAAATCATCTTGCAAAATCATGAAAGTGACCATGGAATTGATTAGTCTAGTTAGTTATTGGATTGTTTTTTCAAAATTTTGCTTGCAGTGGTAGTAGCTTTTACAATCCTCCTTTTTCTCTGTTCAGATCCAAATATAATGAAGAAACTGCAAGTTGACAGGGGAGCTATTAAGTACGTCCTGTCTGGTGCTAACATAATGTGTCCCGGACTTACTTCTCCAGGAGGTGCCCTCGATGATGAAGTAGAAGCAGAGACTCCTGTTGTAAGAATGATAAGACCTATTCCAATATATACTTCTAGATAAATTATCATACTGTAGTGAAACATTATGTTGCCTTTTGCACATTTTCCCAATTTGAATATCTACCCTTTACTAATTTGAAATGTTGGTGGGAGGTACATGCATAGGGCTGGGGCCTGGGTGTTTTCTCCTTTTATCTATTCTGAGGTTCAATCTATTATGTTATGGGCGGGGTTGGAAGTTGAAGAAGAAGAGGACTGAAAGCAATAAAGATGAAGAACCTCTTTGTCAGTCTGTCCTACGCAAGAGTAGGCAGCAATCATTCTAGTCAAGACACCATGGAATCATACTTGTCATGGCGTCGCCTAGGCGTCCTGGCGCTAGGGACTGCTCGCCAGGATACCTTGCCTCGCCGAAAGAAGAAAAGGTGAGCTTGGCATCGTCCAGGCGTGATGTTGGCGACAAGTCGTCGCCTTTTTTACCAGTCGAACAGCCACAAGCCCAGAATAGATTTAGGCTTTAATTTTAGGAAACTAATTTAATTAGGGTTTCAGGCTTTTAATTAAAAACAAAGCCCAAAGCCCTAAAGTAATCTAATAAACTTATGAACTATTCGTTGCCCATCATCCACATGTGATCCTGCATTCCTGTGACGCAGTTGCTGAATTGCTGAGTCGCTACATTTTTAATTTATTATATACTCCGTATATAACTATATAATTACATACATATAATATTATACAATGTGTGACTAGTCGCCTAATTGTCGCTTAGGCGCCTTATCGCCTAGGAGATACGGCGGTCGGCTGGCACCACGACTCGACTTACCGCCGTGACAAGTATGCATGGAATTAACTTCAAAGTTGTTGATCATATTATTACTCCTATTCTTACTAATTCCAAGATTCTTGATGAACAAGATTAAGACTGACCCTAATCTATTAGAGTACTACTATTAGGAATATTAACTAAAATATAATATCAGTACTACTAGGAAATTAATACTAATAAAGGAACCTAATAATGAAATACTGACAATGAGAAGTCTCCTTATGTAATACTTTTCCATATTCCTTTTTTGTGGGTCTAGCACGAGACATACCCATATCATATTTAACTGAATTAATTTGTGTCCTGTTTGAACTTGCATAGATTGTGAGTGTACTTTTTGATGCATTAACCTGCATTCTTCAGGCAATAATGGCTGAAGGGAAGCAACATGCTCTTGCTATTGGATTTACAAAAATGTCAGCAAAGGATATGTAAGTTAACTATACTGCTGTAGTCATTAAATAATGCTTCTATAGCTATATGCATATGCTTGTGTGATTGTAATTGATGATTGAATCTAATAAGGAACTATAAGCTGAACAAAACTTAAAATGTGGATTGGCTGGTTCTTGTTTTTAATTTGTATTCATCCTTAATTAGAAAACACCATTGACGCAGCAGGCAACAATTGTCTCCAGGAACCTACGAACACTTGGCTTTTTTCTTTGGTCAGGGTGTATTGATTTTTGTGTTACTAAACTTTTCTATTGCTAGTCTTTGATTAGAAAATAACCATACAACGATAGCAACAATAACATTACCCCAATGCTGAAAAGGCTCACACCTACGGTGGGGTAAGGGGGGTCGGATGTACGCAACCTTACCCTTGTACTAAAGCACAAAGACTGTTGCTTCATAACAAAAAAATGTTGGCAGTTTAGTGAGCCATTTTGTTTTATTGCATCACATTCTCAAGCCAAAAAACTGTGAGTCTTTGGCTCCATTGGCAATGATGGAAATTGACTTGAAAATAACCATGTTTTAGTTAAATAGTGCTTTATTGTATTCCTTCTCATCTGCACTTTTTCCCAAGTCACATAACCACCCATCTAAATACAGGAAACAGTTATTAATATAAATGTCACTCCTCAGTCCTCACCTCTACAAACTCCCCAACAAAACAATGGCTTAATTGAAGCCCAGAGTCTTTTGAATCCTGGGTTCAAGTAGTCATTTATTTTTGGGCATTCTAGTCGTTATTTCGGGGTGGGGCCGTGGGGCAGTTCTCGACCTTTATGATCTTTTATTGTAAATTTCACAAGTGCACGAGCTTTATAAGTGGGGTTTTATTGTTTCTGCAGAAAAACAATCAACAAAGGAATTGGTGTTGACAATATGCACTATCTTAATGATGGCCTTTGGAAGGTAGTTTTATGGTTAATTCATACTCTCTTTCACAGCAAATATAAACAGCTGCTTTTCAAAATAGATATACCATTGCATTGAGATATTGCTTTTTGCTAATGTGATGAACGGTATCCAATTATTGATTCAAATTTAAAACATCAAATCTTGTTTTTGTTTCTTGACCATAGATGCAGCGGCTGGATTGAGTGTAGAAACCAAACAATGGATATCATCTGGCGCTCCCTCTAATGATTATCATCATTGTTTGTTATAAACTATTTTTAAAGTGCTTACACTATAATTATGTAGATTGGAGCTGAAATTTGCCGAGCGTCTCTGCGTTTTGTGCATTTTTAATCTAAAGTTGACGAACATTTCAGAGTATATATAACATGTGTGTGATAATTTATTAGCAAAGATTTATGTTCTTTAATTTCAACTTTTTGTGTGTGGTCAAATACTCAAATGTTTAAGCTAAGCCGTTGCAATTAAAAAAGGAAACTGTCAAATAGGTACTCGTACTTTTACCGAAAAGTCAATTGAGTCTAGGGATGGACCGGTTCGGGCCTGGGCCCGGCCGGGCCTCGGTTCATGAAGGGGAGGCCCGGAACCGGCCCGGGTAACCCCCGGGTCCGGGCTGGGCCTCGGTTCTATTTTTTTTTGGCTTTTCCTAGTTAACCCTCGGCCCTCCCCCTCACCCCCAAACCAACCCTAACCACCTCAAATGGCCCAAAATACCCAGCCCAACCCAACAACTTAAAAAAAATCAAAAAAAAAATGGCCCGGGCCGGGTCCGAACTAGGGGTGGACTCGGGTCGGGCCAACTGGCCTGGAACCGGACCGGCCCGCTACTGTGCGGGCCCGATTCGGGCCAACCGGCCCGGTGGGATGGCGGTTCAGGCTCAGGCCCTTCAAAAGGTGAACCGGCTCGACCGGTTCGGGCCCGGGCTGGGCCATTTTTTTTTTGATTTTTTTTAAAGTTTTTGGGTTGGGTTGGGTATTTTGGGCCATTTGAGGTGGTTAGGGTTGGTTTGGGGGTGAGGGGGAGGGTTGGGGGTTAACTAGGAAAAGCCAAAAAAAAAAAAATAGAACCGAGGCCCGGACCCGGGGGTTACCCGGGCTGGTTCCGGGCCTCCCCTTCTTGAACCGAGGCCCGGCCCGGCCGGGCCCAGGCCCGAACTGGGCCCGAACCGGAACCGGTCCACCCCTAGCCCGAACCGGCCGGGCCGGTTCACCTTTTGAAGGGCCCGAGTCCGAACCGCCATCCCACCGGGTCGGGTGGCCCGAACCGGCCAACAAATGGGTTCACCGGGCCGGTCCGGGCCCGCACAGTAGCGGGCCGGTCCGGGCCCGCACAGTAGCGGGCCGGTCCGGTTCCGGGCTGGTTGGCCCGACTCGAGTCCAACCCTAATTGAGTCCTTGCACTTTAAAATGAATTTGGCAATTACCGGTAACGAGCCGGTAACCTCATTACATGCCTACGTGGAAGTCCACTTGGCAATTTTTTGTATTGTTTTCTATTTTTTCAGATTTGTTTTCTTTTTGTCGTTCCTTTTCTGTTTCTTTGTTTTTCATCATCAATGACTCATATTTTCTTCCCCCGTGCCGCGTTTCCAACGGGTCACCATACACGACCACCTTTTTGCACACCTAACAACCCATGCTGCCATGAACTTGCTTAGTACGGCCGGCCATGGTTCGACCATCACTGATTGTCGCGAACCCACCAACTAACCCAAATTTCTGCAACAACGTTGAGAAATCCACAACTCCCAACGGCGCCGAGCAAATGAAGAACCTCTGCAATGTCTCCCCAAAGCTTTGCAACAACGCTGACCAAGTGAACGCTGACCCCCGCAACGGCTACCATACCTCCCCATATCCCTGCAACTCTAGATCGAAGAGAAGATTTACATCAGGTCTGAAAGTGTTGGCCCAACCATCGCCGGACTAACACTAATTGGCAACGACCGAGTAAGCGTTCATCGTCGTCGCCGAACGAATGGAGTAGAAGACATCGCCGGCGAAAAAGCTAAAAGGAAAGAAAGAAAGAAGGAAAGAAAGAGAAGGATATAACTGGAGTCACAAGGGAGAAAGACAGGGAACCGGTGGATGCAAACCTAGGAAGAGGAAAAAGAACTGTGCGTCTGCGTGTGAGGAAGAAAGAGAAAGAAAATGAAAAGAAAAAAATATAAGTCATACCAGAAGGGCATCCATGTCAGCATTAACGAGTAATACATATATTCAACCGGCTAGAAAGCCAAATTGGTTAATTTTTAAGAGTTCACAGACCTGATTGATTCAATTAAAGTATAAGGACTCAATTGATTTTTTGACAATAGTGTGAGGACTTATTTGACAATTTTACCAAAAACTAATTTCACTTTCAGTCCCACAACTATTATGTCATCTTACTTTTCGCTCTCTAACTTTCATTTTGAAGGATAACTAATTAAATGACAACTTTAGCTCAATTTTAAATAAATATAAACTCACTTATTCGAATTCGTCATATAATTGATAATTAATTATAATTTATCCAAAACCTTTATCTTTTCAAATTTGATACTCCCAAACAAGAAGAAGGGTTTCCGACCCTTTCCCTCCCCTACCCTTCCAACGACTAACCTTCAAAACCTTCCACTCCCCTTCTCTTCAAACTCCCAAACATACCTTAAGAGTATGTTTGGGAGTTGGAAGGTTGACATGGGTTTATAACTCAAAACCTGTTTGAGAGTTTAAAAATATGGAGGGGTTGATTTTGGAGGGCTTTTGTAATCCTCCAAAACTTCCAAATGCTCAATTTTCAAATTCCCTCAAATTGGGAGATTTTAAAGGATAACAAATTAAATGACAACTCTAACTCAATTTTAAATAAATATAAATTCAACTATTTTAATTGATCATATTTATGATGTGATTTTAATTTGACCTCATCCGTAACCTCTATCTTGTCAAATATGTTAATCCCAAACAAGGAGAGTTTCCTCCCCCCTCCCTTCCAATGACTAACCTTCAAAACCTTTCTCTCCCCTTCCCTTCAAACTCCAAAACATACCCAGAGGGCCTGACCTGATCTTTAAAAAAGTTTTGGAATTTATGCTAAGTAATTTGACTTCATAAATTTGAAAGTGTGTCGGTGCGCGCTTGCGTGAGCACTTGTGTATCTACACATATACATACTGTTGAGGTTTATTCCTTCAACTCCAAAGGGCCAACACCTTACCTTGGATTTCGAATGGAATATGTGATGGATTAAGTGGAAAATATGGTGCAAGCAAGTGGATGGAGAACGAGAGAAAAAAGAGTAGTAAGTGGGTTGTGTCTTGTTCAATGAGGTAAAGGTCAGATTAGTCCTCGAAATTGAATAAAAAGGGTCAAATAAGTCCTTACTATCCGACCGTCACCATTTGGGGAGGTTCCCGATGGAAGTTTTTGATGATTTTTTTTAGAATCTTATTCATTAAGTCTAGTTTACTCATACCAAATGTCAGATAAAACTTCAATAGGGAAGACATTCAAATGAATTCTTGAAGGTAAATGCGCTTTTAACTGCGCAGTTATCTTCAAGACTTCATTTGAATGCCTTCCCGATTGAATTTTTAGCTTCAATTTGGTATGAGTAAACTAGATTTCATGAATATAAGGACTTATTTGACCCCTTTTTTAGCTCAAAAATTTGCATCAAAAAATTTCACCGAGAACCGCCCCGAATGGCGATGGCCAGACACAACCTCCTATATAAGGATTTATTTGACCCCTTTTTTTGCAACTTGGAGAATCAATCCAACCCTTACCTCCTTATTTAATAATAATAAGAGTCTATCACAACACATTTCACTACAAGTCCGCTAGACCGATCATCTAACTTTGCTGATAGGAGGGGGAATAATTGCTATTGGTAGAGAGTGTAAGTTGCCAACTCTTTACAATGAAATAGATGCTACTACCTCCGTCCCGAAAATGTTATCCATATTGACTTTTCTTGATCAATGATGTCAAACTTTGGACAATGATTTTAACTATCATATTTGTATATAACTTATAAATTTTATACTTTTATGAAAATATTTTGAATAAGGAACATTTTGATATAATTTTTATATTCAAAATAATTTTGTATTAAGAAAAAACATTGGTCAAAGTTGATTGTCATTGACCAAGAAAAGTCAATTTGGAAAACCTTTTCGGGACGGATGGAGTACTATTTATACTACCAAGGGGTAGGTAATGTTGATGATCTAGAGGATTGTGGGTGGCTAGCTTCCCAACCACCAAATATACTGCATTAACTGTGTTTCTCGCCAATATCTTGGTTTCCCACCAAAGGATCTGGACGAGTGTCCCCTTCAGCTTGATCTCTGAATCCCGGTGAGTGCAAGGGCGTAGATCCGTTCGGCCTACGTTGGCCGTCCCTTCTGAGGCCCATGGACCACCACGTCACCCAACTAGGCCAAGGTGCTAAAGGACGAGCATCTTTAATAATACAACGAGCGTCTGACCGACCTTCAATGGATTCCATCCAAACTAGGCCTTGATGTCTTGTTGCTAAGGGGTAATGGACCACTCCGGTATCAGGCCCATTAACCCAACACATACATATCTGTGTGGGGTTAGCGTGGTTGAGGTCTCATAATCTCATGGGAAATGAGAAAGTTACACGTTTGGTTAACTATGAACATTTTCATGCATTTAATAGTGCAACTTATGTAGTAAAGGAAAAACTCGGTTTTATTTACAAAAAAAATTATTCTTATTTATATCAAATGTATTGACTCCTCAGTTTCAGTTTTTATTTTTGCGATCTTACCATATTATTCATTACATTCATTTGCTTTTCTTACATTCAATCAACTTTTTATTTGAAGTGAAATTTGTTGACCCATTGCTACCACCCATGTTGCACGAACACAAATACGAAGATATAGAGACACTCAACAAAGGATACGACAAAATGTCACATCATTAAAACATGGGATACTTACATTGGAATATAATTATAGATATTGATAATATATGAACTCATTTCATAGTTTATGCAAATATACAAGGATACTTTACAAGCATGAAAATAATTTATGCAAAAATGTTGTCACTAAACATTTTTACTTTAAAGTAATATATTATAGAATGTTAAAATTAGAAGTTCCTAATACTAATTAAGTACACAAATATATGAAAATTCTCACAAATTATTAAATATTTACCACATGGGAAATTCATATTTTAATGTCCAATGCATTCAAACTAAAATAACTAACAATGTCCAAATAAAATGATTCTCAATGGTTTACATTTTCATATTCCTAGAAAAACATCAATAATTATGGAGTTTTCCCCTTAATATTACTAAATTAAAGTTAATTTCAAAAAAGTGACCACATTTATATTTGGACAGGAATGTGACTAATGCACAGTGACATCTCTGTATTGACATTTTCGCGGCTAATCTCGACAGGGACATATCTGTCACCACCGGCCATAGTGACACATGTGCAGTGACATCTCCGCCGCCATCATCCGTGTCACTGCCGCCACTGTTGCCGCCGCCGGTCACAGTGACACATTTGCAGTGACAACTTCGTATCAACACCGTCACAGTTACACGGCCTTCGGTGACACCGCCACAGTTACACGGCCACCTGTGACACCACCACAGTGACACGACCTCCGGCGACACCACCACAGTGACACGACTTTCGGTCAAAGTGAGTCAAAGTGACACCTCCACGATGACTCCAGCCACGACCTGCCACCTTCGGTCACCACCAGCACATGACCTCCCACCTTCACCCACCGCGGGCGACCACCAATTCACCTTGTGTCACTCTCCGGCGGGCAGCCTCACCAGCCCCCTCTTAAGCCCCCACCCCTGTCACCCCCTGCTGCCTCACACCCACACTCAGCCCACACACTGGCAACTGCCAACCGCCGCCAACTGCCACCGCCCTAAACAGTGACCCACAAGCCCCATCCCCAACCCACAGCTCCCAGCCCCTGTAAAAACGCTGCACAACACACCCCAGCCCTGCAACCGCTGCATCCCACCATTCCACCACCGTCCCCCGCCGCACCCCCTGTGACTCACCCCTAACCACCAATATCCGATCTAAAACCCCAGTCATGTCATTTCCGTTGCAATCGAAGCAATCACTTCACCCTAATCGCTCCATCTCCGCCGCAATCGAAGCCACCGCAGAGATCGAGATCCAGATCCGTCGTCTCCATTGTCATTGCCGTCGCCGCAGGCACGCCGTCTTCATCTCACCGTCTGGATCGAAGTCCCTGTGCTAGGTCATGTGGCTAATGGTGTGGACCGGAGCTTGCGACTAGAAGATTAGAGCTGAAGGGGAGGGGGGAGTTCGGAGATGGGGAATGGAAGGGTGGTAGGCGAACGAGAAGATGAACTGTTGACGATGAACGAGATGAACGATACTGCGAAGGGGGATGGCGGAGATGGCAACGACGGTGACAGAGACGGCCTGGGGAGTGGTCTCCTCCATTCCTGCGATGGCCTGGGGAGATGTCCTCTCTACTCCTGCGATGACCTTGGTTGATTCGGATCTTGGTTTGGCTCCAGAGACGAAATGAGTGGGCTGAGAGAGTAATGGGCTAGATAAGTCATATTTCTGAAAAAAATAAAAGTAGTCACATTTTTGTATTTCCTAAAGCTATTAGTAATATTTGTTAAATGCAATAATACATTTAAATATCCTTTGTAAATTTAGGATTTGACTTCATTTTACAATTTTAATTATGAATTAGTAAGTAGAACAAGATAGACACACGTTTTTTGTAAACACGGGTATCTTATTATAGATAAATTGTGACATGGCCTAAAAACGGATTAATACGTAAGTTGAGGTGTCTCGAATTTGACACGGATAGCCAGATGGGACACATAACACGTCTAAAATCATGTGTATCCGTGCATCATAGACCTGTGCAACATAAACACTAGATGGAGCTAATGATTTAGTAGTTATATTCGATCAAATCCGTTGTCTTTGTCCACTCGGAGCAATCCATAAAAAGAGAGGAAAGAGAAAATATCAATCGTTCACACGAATGTGAGCCATTCACTTTGCTCTGTCAAAAGCCACAATCTCATCCAACCCAATAAGACGCATATCAGTTCCGATTCTTCTAATCCTGGTCTGTCTGGGCCTTCGCCTCTTCTACGCACATGACCAAACCACCACAATCGAGACTCTTGCATCTTATCTCGTATAGGTTCTACTTTCACCTTTTGTCTGATTATCTCATCCCTCAAGTGGTCTTTTCTGGTATATGCACACATTCAACGCAACATTCACATCTATGTTACACTCATATTTTAAATGTGACGTTGTTTCACCGTCCAACACTGTACGTCATATATTAATGCAATCGTAATTATTGTTCGATACAATTTACCCTTCAGCCTAGTCGGCATGCATCGAACGCATAGAAATCCTGATACACTCTTCCATTTCATCCACCCTGCTCTTGCTAAGTTATACTACATCTGTTCCAAAATACTTAGCTAAATTCTAAACTTTGATCAATTATATATATTTATTGGAAATTATTTATAATATAAAAATGATATGAAACTGTTTTTTGTTAAAAGTACTTTCATAAAAGTATAAAATTTATAATTTTCATAGTATTATACTAATAAAAAACATGAGTTAAATTTTAAGATTTGGTTAGGTACGAAGGTAATATAACATAATTAATTAATTTAAACCACGCCCCTTTTGCTAAGTTATTTTTTTCGAGCCACTTCTCAACCCATTTCATTTCGAATTTTGACCAATATATTTCAGTTTTTGACGAGTGAATGAAAAATTTAAAAGAATTTCATCACAACAACATTGGTTTTGTTAATTTTTTTTACACATTCCACAATTTTTTACTCCCTCCGTCCCTTATAACTTTGCCAACTTTCCTTTTTTGGTTGTTCCAAAAATTTTGTCACTTTTCCTTTTAATCAATCAAATTGTGACTCCTTTTATTTCTCTCTCCTCTGTACAAATTTCTACCACACAATTTTTACTTAATTATTCTACGTGCCGGTCAAACATGACAAACCTTTAAGGGCAGCCTTTGCTTAGTTTGGTACAAGGGCAGCCTTTTAATTTGTAAACTTTTGCAGGCTATTTTGTAATTTGAAAATGTTTCTCTCCGAAAACCCTAATCTCCCTCGTTTCGTAGGATATAACAGGCTTAGCCGCACACCCCATCGCCCCTCCCACCTTGGCCATAGAAGGTTTTTCAGCGGAGCTCAGCCATGGTAATCTTTCTCTAGCTAACTCTCTTAATTGTATGGATGGATACCCATACCATTTTTCATATTCAAGCCGCTTCAAAATTCGTTCTTGTAGGGTATCGATCTGGAAGCAGGAGGAAAGAGCAAGAAGACCAAGCGGACAGCGCCGAAATCCGATGATGTTTACTTGAAGCTTCTCGTCAAGGTTTGGTTCGGTCTTACACTCTGTGATTTTCCACAAGTTTCTACAAATGTACGTTTTATTCATCTTAATCAAGGAATGATTTGTGGATACACTGCAGCTCTACCGGTTTTTGGTACGAAGAACAGGAAGCAAGTTCAATGCTGTGATTCTGAAGCGCCTCTTCATGAGCAAGATAAACAAGCCTCCACTTTCCCTCTCCAGACTGATCTCTTTCATGTCGGGAAAGGTGTGCACTTTCACCGTCCTTGGGACTTTATTGCCTTTGTATAGTTCTGGTCTCGTGTGCCATAGCCATATGTTTTCCCCTATCCAGTTCTGTTTGTTGATTTTGTTTTTGTTTTCCTTTTGGATGAGTATCTGTAGGAAGGTAAGATTGCTGTGTTGGTGGGCACCATTACAGATGATATCAGGGCTTATGAAGTCCCAGCAATCAAAGTTTGTGCATTGAGGTTCACCAAAACTGCAAGGGCAAGGATTGAGAAAGCTGGTGGAGAATGCCTGACTTTTGACCAATTGGCTCTTAGGGCTCCATTAGGTCAAAACACGGTAAGGAATCAGATGCCATTGATTTGCGACGATTATTCTTGTGTATTATTCTGTTCCATAGTTGATATTTTATACTCCGTAATACCCACTGGTTACTGATTGTTTTCAAATGAAGATGCCACTGGGTCAATAGTTTTTTATTTATTTCATGAATTCATTAGTATATTCCCTTTGAAGTTTTTTAAGTCTGTCCCATCAATCCAATGATGGGGTGCCATTGATAACCTTTTGGTAGTTCCCCAAGAACCTCTTTAGGCATTTGATGTGCATTAATTTTACCTATTCTATTTGCGTAGCCCTTAAGATCGCCTTCCACATGCTTAATGGAAGCGTTTTGAGTCATAGCTACGCTACATCAAATTCATCATATACTATCTTCCACATTATAAAGGTTTAAATCTTTTTAATTGTGGTTGTGGTATATATGGGATTCTCTGTAGGGTTTTCCTATTGAGGGTCTCTACTCTCCCACTTTTCGATGTTAGTCATTGTGTATTTTTTATCTATTTCTCCTTGTGAGATTGTGGACAAATATCTTTATTCACAATGACTTTGAAGGGGGATACATTCAATCAATTAATTGAATTTAATTGTTTTTGGGTTTTGTTTATTCCTCATTTGGATTAGTGGGAATCTGTGGGTGGGTATCTTATTAAGTTGAAGGTTGTTGGGAATTATACCGTCTCTGCTTGGATGGATCTTATTGTGTGGTTTGGATGAGAGAGCTTAATCTAGTTATAATAAATATAATATAATATATCTAAACATGAATTAAAGGTGTTTGAAATGTTATGTAATCCTAATTTTTAAAATCTCTATTGTTAAAAAATGTATTAACCCCTAAAAAACTTTTCCGCCCAAAGTTTTTGTTGAAGTTCTTGTTGCTGTTTGTGGCACGGGTGATGAGGTAGTTATGTGTGAGGTGGTGTTCACCCCTTTGAGATCACTTTACAAGGCTTATTGATATTCTGGCATGCCCCCAAGTAAACTGATGCAAGGTTATTTGAATGTTATACTCCCTTCATATCTTTTAGCTTTGCCATTTTGACCAGCACGTGGAATAATAAAATGGAAATTGGGTAGAGTAAATAGAAATAATATGAATCACAAATTAATAGATTAAAAAGATCCCTAAAATCTTCTTTTCCACCTCTACTTCAAAACAGAGCCTTATTGTTGGTCTTTTCTTTGCGGCATAAATAATGAGGTGATTAGATGCATGGCAGGCTATTATCTGTATGAACTCACATACAAGCCCATTTTTGTTTTTGGCCTTTCATTAGTTGTAGTTGAGCTAGAGATACCAGTTTAAGCTTTTGATGTGAAATGTTTAGTTTATTGTAATTGCTTAATCTGTTTTTTTATATAATCATCATTGTGTTTGGTTTGCAGCTTCTACTCAGAGGCCCAAAGAATTCACGGGAAGCAGTAAAACACTTTGGTCCGGCTCCTGGTGTTCCTCACAGTCACACCAAGCCATATGTGCGTGCTAAGGGAAGAAAGTTTGAGAGGGCTAGGGGTAAAAGAAACAGCAGGGGATACAAGGCTTAGTTTTTTTCATTATATTGGTATCAATATTATCAAGTTGTTATCAAGTTGTCTTTTGTATCTTTGATTTCAAATTTTGCTAAGACTTTAGTTTGCTGTTAACATTACCTTCTTTCGTGTTATTGTGCTTATTTACTATATAAGTGATAGAACCTTTGCATCAATTTTGTCATGGATTGTCCGTTGTCTCAAAAAACAATGATATTTCCATCCAATGTTTCTCTATATGTTGATTTATTTATTAGTGTATGTCTGAATAGGAGTGGACTCGGGCCGGGCCAACTGGCCAGGAACTGGACCGGCCCGCGACTGTGCGGGCACGGACCGGCCCGGTTTGTCAGTTAGGTCACGGTTCGGGCCATCCCGGCCCGGTCATGTAGCTGTTCGGGCCTGGGCTCATATTTTGGTGAACCGGCCCGGCCGGGCTGGGGCTCAACGGCCACCATTTTAATTTTTTTTTAAATAATTAAAGGCTCTACTAGCCGTTGGGAGACCTCCCAAACGACTCTATAGCCGTTGGGAGCATAGGTGGGGGGTCTGGGGGTTAGGGGGGGTGGGGTATAAAAAAAACCTATTTATACTCTTATTTTCTATACATTTTTTACACCTCTTCTTCTACAACTCTTCCTACTCTCTAAATTCTTATTCTCTCAATCTCTCATATTCAATCATCTTCATCTTCTCCAAATTCTTTCTACATATATAAAATTTATATAATTATTATATCTACTTATATATTAATTATCTACTTATAAATATATACTTATACACATTCATATTATAGTTCTTTACGCATTGTATTATATATACTATATATAGTTATACATTATATTATATATTACTTATAATATATTTACACATTATATATTTATATATACTATATATATATAAATTACTTAATTTATATATACACTTCTCGTTTATCTATTTAATTACTTATTTGTTTCATTTGTCATATTAATATTAGTTAAAGTAGTTAATTGTTTCATTTGTCATATTAATATTAGTTAAAGTAGTTAAAGTTAATTGTTTCATTTGTCATATTAATATTAGTTAAACTACTTAATTGTTACATTTCTCATATTAGTTAATTGTTACATTTCTCATTAAAGTAAAAAAAAACTAGTTAATTTTTACATTTCTCATATTAGTTAATTAGTTAATTGCTACATTTTTACATTTCTCATATTAGTTAATTGCTACATTTTTACATTTCTCATATTAGTTAATTAGTTAATTGCTACATTTTTACATTTCTCATATTAGTTAATTGCTACATTTTTACATTTCTCATATTAGTTAATTAGTTAATTGCTACATTTTTACATTTCTCATATTAGTTAATTGCTACATATCTCATTAAAGTAAAAAAACTAGTTAATTTTTACATTTCTCATATTAGTTAATTACTTAATTGCTACAATTTTACATTTCTCATATTAGTTAACTGCTACATTTTTACATTTTTCATATTAGTTAATTGCTACATTTTTACATTTTTCATATTAGTTAATTGCTACATTTTTACATTTCTCATATTAGTTAATTAGTTAATTGCTACATTTTTACATTTCTCATATTAGTTAATTGCTACATATCTCATTAAAGTAAAAAAAAACTAGTTAATTTTTACATTTCTCATATTAGTTAATTACTTAATTGCTACATTTTTACATTTCTCATATTAGTTAATTACTACATTTTTACATTTCTCATATTAGTTAATTGCTACATTTTTACATTTCTCATATTAGTTAATTAGTTAATTGCTACATTTTTACATTTCTCATATTAGTTAATTGCTACATATCTCATTAAAGTAAAAAAACCTAGTTAATTTTTACATTTCTCATATTAGTTAATTGCTAATATTTGTTAAATTTTAAAGATGGAGCGTGGTAGACATTCTGTAGATGTGGGTAATCTCCAACGCAACCGCAAGAGGGAGATTGCATCGACTCGATCTACTTCACGCAAAGGCAAAGGTAAAGCGCGAGCCGAGTCTTCTTTTCAAAGTCGAGATGATTTTGAAACGGATTACCAACGGCGAGATGGTATGATGATGTCCGACAAGGAACTACAACACCTATTGTCCCAAAATGATCCACGTTTTGCACAAGAACAACAATTCCCGACAACCATCGATGAAGAGGAGCTCGAGGATGACGATGGGGAGGAGGACGTGGGGGGTGACGGGACTCCGGATGATGAGCAAGAGGACGAGGGCCGTTCAACGACTACAACCCAAATTGGTAAGAAATCTAAATCTCCTATTATTGAAAACAATTATACAAAAAGGAAAGACGAACAAACCGAAAAATGGTACGCAAGTTGCAATCATTGCAAGAAAGAGTTTAGCTTGGGAACTTCTGGCGGATACGGGAGTCTCAAAAGGCATCTTCAGTCCGCCCACTTTGTGGAGTATGCGAAAATAGACAAAGGAAAGGGGAAGCAAACACAAATATCAAGGTTTGCAAATTTTCAACCCTTTGGTAATTTTTCCTATGATGATTAAAAAGATTTGACTGATATGTCTCATTTAATTGTTGAAGAAAATTTATCCTTTATTTTTTCCGAAAGTCTTACTTTAAGAGATTATGCTCAAAGTACTTTAAATCCTCAATTTAGAAATTATAGTCGCAAAACGATTAAAAAAGAAGTTATAAGGCAATATAACTTGGAAAAAGAAAAATTACAAATATTTATCGCAAACTTTGATGGACGTGTTAGTATTTGTAGCGATATATGGGAGGATACTTATCATCATTTATATTATTTGGGTCTAACTGCACATTATATTGATGATGATTGGAATATGCATAAACGTGTTCTTGCTTTTCGTGAATTCAATGATAATATTTATATTCTCATTGAACGTATTTTAATTGAGTATAATTTGATTGATAAGGTGTTTGCTGTAGGTTTTGATAATGCTAGTAATAATACTACTGCTATACCTAGATTACGTGAATTGTATGGTGCTTCTACATTGATGGGTAGATTTTTTCATCAACATTGTGCATGTCATATTCTAAATTTGTGTGTACAAGATGGCTTAGCGGCATTAGGAAATGCTTTGGAGATAGTGAAGGGGGGAATTAAATTGATTTGGGCTAACACTCCACTAAAAATGCAATGGCGGCAATATTTGAAGGATAGACGTGTGAATTATTGTGCTTTTCCTAAAGATTTGTCTATTCGTTGGAATAGTACTTATAATTTAATTCAAGTACTTGTTAGATATAAAGATCATTTTCCAGCTTTTTTAAGACAAACTTGTAACTATATTATAAACCCGGCTGACATCGACACTTGTGAAAAAATTGTTAATGTTTTGGCATATTTTAATAACGCAACTCTAACTTTTAGTCATGTTTATAAACCTACCGCAAACGAATTTTTTGTTGAAGCTGTTAATCTCGCCGACGCTTTTTGTGAATTTTCCGACGCCACTTACGTTAGTTATTTTTGTGATTTCATGAAACAAAAGTTTTTAAAATATTATTCACATATTCCGCATATATATGGTATTGCATTTGTTCTTGATCCTCGTTATAAACTTCCTTACTTGGCAAATTGTATAGATTACTATTATGCTTCTTTTTTTTCAACTCAAGAGTTCGATGATAATCCCATCGACCCTAAACAAGAATTCAACGAGGTTAGTAATTTATTTCATCAATTGTATAATGAATTTCATGCACAATATGGTAATGCACCCCCTCCCATGCAACGAACATCTTCTTCATCTAAAGGAAAATCACTTTTAAAATCCGCTTTTGGTTCTCTTTTGAAAAAAAGTAGAGCAACTCCCGCTACTGAACAAAGCTCAGGTAACGAGCTTTCTTTGTATCTAACATTGAATGTTGATTATGAAGTTGGTGATGACTTTGACGTTCTTAAGTGGTGGAAGGAAAATGAAAGAACATTCCCGATTTTATCAAAGATGGCTAAGCAAGTACTAGCAATGCTGATATCAACCGTTGCCGTGGAACAAGAATTCAGTGCGGCCGGCAACGTCCTAACCGATTATAGAACGAGGTTGAGCCCGAGCTCTCTTGAGACACTAGTTTGCTTTCACGATTGGTTGAAGGCCCAACGAAGAACTCAATAAATTACCATCACTCCCACCCGCCACTTTATGGAGGAAACAACCGAAGGCGGAGAGTCCGATAGATTTTTTATTACAAAATGTATTACATTTTTTAAATTCATCCTAATTCTCAATTGTACTTCTTATTTGAAATAAATATACTTCAATTCGAATATAATATATTGTAATTGTAATAAGAATTAATCTAATTATATAATATTTAAAAAAAAAATTAAATAGGCTCGGCCCGTGAACCGAGCGGGTGACCCGAACCGAACCGGACTCGGGGTTATCCGGACCGGTTCCGGGCCTGCCTTCCTTGAACCGAGGCCCGGCCGGTTCTAGGCCCGAACCGGCCCCGGCCCGAACCGAGTCCACCATTATGTCTGAATGACTGAATGGTGCCATTTTTTATTTATTGTTTTAACTAATTTTTTTTGTTCTAGTTAAAATTTTTTTGCCCATCATTTTCCAAAGGAAAAAGGTCCAAATAGGCCCATGTACTAACAAAAAAAGGTCAAATAAACCCTTATTTAGGAGGCTCTGTAATGCCGTCGTCATTTGGGGTGGTTCCCGGTGGAAATTTTTGATGAAATTTTTTGAGCATCTTATTCATTAAGTCTAGTTTACTCATACCAAATTTCAGCTAAAACTTCAATAGGGAAGACATTAATATGAATTCTTGAAGATAACTGCGATTCTAACTGCGCAGTTATTTTCAAGAATTCATTTGAATGCCTTCCAGATTGAATTTTTACCTGAAATTTGGTATGAGTAAACTAGACTCGATTAGTAAGATGCTCAAAAAATTGCATCAAAAACTTCGACTGGTAACCACCCCAAATGGCGATGACCGGACAGAGCCTTCTAAATAAGGGCTTATTTGACTTTTTTTTGTTAGTACATGGGCCTATTTGAACCTTTTTTCTTTTCCAAAAAAATGTAGTCCCATTGTTCAAGAAAATGTAGTCCCATTGTTTCCCATCCAATGTTAAAGAAGTCTACCTAGGCATTAGGGGTGGATTCGGTTCGGGCCACCCGGCCCGTGACCCAGCCCGGTACTGTGCGGGCCCGGGACCGGCCCGGTCGGGCGGTCCGGGACCGGGTGTGGACCCGAACCTGTGGGAATGGGCGGGGCGGGCACGGTTCCGGAAAA